TCGCAATGTGAGTTATTTTGTCATATTTGATGATTATGGTTAATTTATACTTATTTTCATGATGATTGTGATTAAAGTTCTAATTTTTTATTTTAATTTCAGTGGGATGGCACTGGATGTTCAGGCTGGTACTGGGACGAAGAGTATGTTGAACACGTGTAAAACTCTCTTGCACAGGCGGCTATGGCGGCTGATGAGGCAGTGATCCTGCGGAAGAAGCCCATAGATGTTGAACAAACACATGATCTGTCTGTTTTAGTTGGGATTGATCGTGAAATCCTTATGCTGCTGAACTGTATTTTAGCTTTAGTTTTTTAGTGGTAGTTGGGATTGTCTATATTGTAACGAGACTTTCATAAATTAATACCTTGTGTGGTGGCATGCATGTCGTATAATTAACTAATTATGTTCTAGATTTTAATATGGTATGTATGTCATATAATGCAGATGAACCGGCATTGGATGTACAATACTGATCGCCGCTCCCAAGAGTTCATTGAGGGCGTGCATTCTTTCTTATGTGTGGCCGAGGCAAACAAATGCGATGGTTTCATGTGCTGCCCATGTGCCATATGTAAGAATTTGAAGGAATATACTAGCTCAAGGAGTCTTCATTCACACTTATTGAAGTCGAATTTCATACCAAACTATATTTATTGGACGAAGCACGGAGAAACCGGGGTTGTAATGGAAGAAGGTGAAGAAGAACAATGGAACGATGATGACATTATTGCTGAATATGGTGCCTTCAATGATACTGCAATGGGGGAAGCTGAAGAAGAGGTAGGGGCAGAAGATGAGCCCGCTGATGATCTTGGTCAGGCCATTCGTGACGCACAAAGAGAATGCGAAAGTGAAAAGGAGAAGATCAAGTTCGAGCGCATGCTAGAGGATCACAAGAAATTATATACCCAACTTGTGATGCGAGGCAAAAAAAGTTGGGTACCACACTGGAATTGCTGCAATGGAAGGCAAAGAAGAAAGCCTCCTCTAATCCAGTTATTCCCCAAAAACTATCTTACGAGAAAAGTGAAAAGAAATTAAATGCTACAGTAAAAAAAGATGTGAACAGTTTTTTCGAAAAAGTAAGAAAGCAATGAGAAGCGAGGGAGAACCCAGAGAAACCGTACTTCTACCTACCTAGAGATCTTCTAAGAAAGAAGATGGACCAGAAAAAACGGGAATCTCAAAAGATCCTGCCAAAATTGGACTACGACCGCTCTCTCACTAACTCATTTGAGGCGGCGCAGAAAAAGACTAAAGCAGGGAAAGGTGTTGTACAACTCGGACAACAATCGCAATAATCAGTCCCCCATCTTGTCATTAGTAATGAATATAATTCAAACTTAGACTTATTGGACGTCGATTTTGAGAACCTGGTTCGGTTTTACGAGGATACTGGTTTGAACCTTGTCCAAGTGTTCGTTGAAGGACCATTTGCTCCGAAAGTGGATCATTGGAAGAAATTTGAACATGGAAAGAATCTATACAACCCTGAGGCCTTAGGTGAACTGGGTACGCAAATGTACCTGCTAAACAAGTAGTACATGGCGGCGTGTGAACAGGGAGAGAACTTTATTTCTGTCAGAGTTAGAAACCAACATTACTTCCGTGGCGATGACGTTATATATGTCGAGTTTTTAGAATTACACCAAATATACCACATGTACTCTCTCGACAAAAATCTCATTAGCTGCTATTGTCTATAAGTGTGATTATTTTCTACTATTAAAGTATATATATATAAAGCTACATGTATATATATAAATTATATATATTCTCACACTATATTTTTATATATGCAGATATGAAATGACAGAACTCAGAAAGAGAAAGGATAATGATGTTGGTTTCGTTGATCAAATGTCTTATTCAAACACCCTAATCCTCTGCCTCAATGGAAAGCTGAACTCAAGAAAAATCTCATGAGGTTCTTAGTGAACCAACAAAACAAGGACATATTCTTCCCCCACAACTTCAAGTGAGTGTTAAATAATTAATGTCGATCATATAGACATTTGTTCAATTATTTGCTTACTAGCTAAGCTATCTCCCATATATATATATATATGTGTGTGTGTATTGACTCTAGTTAATGTCGATGGTATTTGTGTATAAAAATATATGCAGCAATCACTGAATATTGATGGTCATCGATATGGCCAATAGTCGGTTGAGCATCTTAGACTCGTTGAGAAAAGAGCAAACAGAGTACCAAGACATGATAGATATTATCCAATGGTAATTTGGTCTCTCTAGCAACTATATATACCCCGATCTTTTAACTGCAACAATTATTAAAGGCCAAATTAATTTTTTATTTCATTGGACGCAGTGTTTGGAAAAGTTTCATTGAGGAACACCACATGAAACATTACAAAGCGCCACTGGATGTAATCGCACACAAAGTAAGTACTAGCTATATTTATATATATAATTCAATTAACACCAAGCATGCTTTCAATTCACCGGATCTTTTTTCTCGTAAAAGTGGGTTCTGAGGTAAGAACAGGGGACCAACTACTACGGATACTATGTTTACGAGTTCATCATGGCGTACGCAAAAAGAACTCCTGAAGAGATCTTCAAAGTACGTTATATAAATATATTCATATATTCACAATTTCTTTTATTGCTCATATATATAAGTAATCACGTGACCAACACACACACATATATATATATTAATACTTTTCCTTTAACTTTTATTGAAGACTCTATGGTTTAAGGAAAAAGTCATACGACGTGACTAACTGAAAGCAATTCAAGAGACCATAACAGGATTTCTTAATGATCAGGTCTTAAACCCCACCGACGAGTTCTACAATGATATGAACGAAACATGAAAGCAAAACCAGATGGAGTGAATTTGTTATCCCAAGAATATGATAGAATATACAATACAAGCTTTATTTGTAATATATATATATACATATTATATATACATAAAATAATATACAATATATGTATATGCATGTAATATATACGTTAGTTTCATACTTTAGTTTTTTACAAAATGTTCGAACATTATAAGCGTGTAGAATACATATATTATTAGCAGCGTAGAATGCATATTCGAAAACCTATTCAAAAACCAAAATGAATCATCAATTGAAAATAGAAACAAAAAAAAAGAAAAAGAAAAGAAAATCTTTAGTCCCGGTTGGTAATACCAACCGGGACTAAAGGACCGGCCGACGTGGTCAGGTTAGGAGGCCTCTTTAGCCCCGGTTGGTGTTGGCCACGTGGGCCGGCTCTTTAGTCCCGGTTGATATTACTAACCTACCAGTGAGAAACCAGGACTAAAGAAAGGGCCCTTTAATCCCAAATTCGTGTTCCTGATTAGAAAACCGGGACTGAATGTGTTTTTCCAACCGAAAGTACAGCATGTTTGTGTACTAGTGTAAATCATCGTCAGGTAGGAGAACTCGATTCCGGCAGAAAAAAAATTGACGACAGCGAGAAGCCAATGAACAATCCCTTTATTTTGAGATTTCGTTGACTAGAGCACTGGAGCGAGTATGTTTATAGGAGGAAGCTAGCGGCGGCAAACTACCACGACTCATCAAGGTGGAACGCATCTGATGGACGTGGTGGCCGAGAGGACGAGAAGAACAGAGGAGATCTAAAAGGAGCGATATGTAGTCTCAATCCATCTTCTTCAATGGTAACTTGGTCCACAACTATTCATTCCTTTGAGTCCTAGATAATGGATAAATTCTATCATCAATTGTACTACAGGAAAGTTGTATTGTTTTAATGTTACAATTAGTATCGTAATTAAATTCTTGATTTTTAAATGGAGTGCAAGATAAAGTAAAGTCCTTTAGTAGTCAAATAAGTTTTTATAGTTTGCAAATATTTGACGTAAACATATTCTACATGTCCAAATATCAGGCACCAGATTTAGCTATGCAAAATTCCATATAAATTTATACAAAAAATAAAAGAGAAAGATGTACATTATGATCACATGCATAGTCTAGATTAATCCCAAATCTATATCTAATTATTATTATTTTTTTAAAATCACTCCCAATTTATAACAGTTTGTTGCCTAATTTAGTCTAAGTAAATGTACATTTCTCTACCCTACTAATGCACCATTTTTTCTTTACTACGTCCACGTAAGAAAATGACCCTCCGCTGAGATGTTCCCTCTAAATCCACCCCAACAAGTATACCCAGAAAAATAACACATTTCAAACAAACCGTCTAGATGCACTCTAAGTCTTCTCTCTTCTTACTCATTACACAATCGACGGACTAAATTGAGTGTATCAAATCTGCTCGTTCTTCCCTACCCCCACGTCATGCAGCCCTTGTGGACAGGACCTGCTCCTCTTCCTCAGCGTCCATCGTGGCCGTACATCATATCAGGCTGAGCCTCCCGCGCTCGCGCCGCAGCCGCCGCCTCTCTCGCCGCTATTCCGCCTGCCGTGGGCCGCTGCATCACGGCCTGGTGGCCTCCGGCGGCCACATCCAAATTCCCCCTCCCATAGATAAGCCTCTAGCAATCAGTCGAGAGGGCGCGGGACGCGGTGGCGGGGGAGACCACGTGCGAGGCTGCGCTGGCGAGGAGCTGTCCTGTCCAGCGGGGCAGTGCGCGAGGCGAGTCAAGGGGCGCAGGGCACGGCGGCGGCCAGCACGTTCGAGGCGCGGGCAGGTAATGCCCGTCCTCTCCCCATGTTAAGAGTCGCTAGCCTATCATGGCCGTCGCCGTCGACGTCCCCTCGTGCATCCAGCTCCTCCGTTCCTGCGGCGCGGCCGCCGGCCGGCAGCTCCACCAGCTTCTCCTCAAATCCGGCCACGTCCCCTCCTCCCTCCCACCCACCAACTCCGTCCTCCTCATGTACGTGCGCGGTTCTTCGCTTCACTCCCGCGACGCCCGCCGCCTGTTCGACGAAATGCCCACGAAGAACTGCTTCTCCTACAACTCGCTCATCACCGCCCTCTTTAAGTCCGGAGACCACTGCGCGGCGCTCCGCGTGTTCCGCTCCATGCCTGACAGGAACACCTTCTCCTGGAATGCGGTGATAACTGGCTTGGCTGGTGCTGGGGATCTTGACACTGCGGGCGAGCTGCTTGAAGAAATGCCCGTGAAGGATGCTGTGGCTTGCCACGCTGTCTTGCATAGGTTTGTTCGCTGTGGCCGAGTGGATGAGGCATTTGCTCTGCTCAAGGGGATAGGTTTGCAGCGCAATTCCGATGTGATCTCGCCATGTAATGACCCCTTTGTGCTTACCACAGTGGTTGGCGCTTGTGCTGATCGGATGAAGTATGAGATTGGGAGGCAAGCTCACGCCCGGTTGGTGGTTGCCAAGACAGAAATCGATTCGGTATTGGCTTGCGCATTGATTGACATGTATTGCAAGTGTGGGGATTTGGACTCTGCTCGCCTTGTTCTTGATAGATTAAAACATGTGGATGAATTTTCACTGTCCGCACTGGTCTATGGCTATGCATCTTGTGGACAGTTGCACAAGGCGTTATTATTTTTTGACAAGGTGGAGAACCCCAGCGTTGCTCTATGGAATTCTCTTATCAGTGGCTGTGTCCCTGCCTATCATGGAGATAGTGCTTTTGTTCTTTTTGTCAGGATGTTGCGGTCAGACATGTTGCCTAATTCTTCAATTTATGCCATTCTTCTGAATATGTGTGGCTTTTTAGGCATGCTGAAGCCTGGGCAGCAGACGCATGCTTGTGCATTAAAGAGTGGAGCTGTCAATGACTTGATAGCAGCAAGTGCTCTCATTGACTTCTACTCGAAATGCAGCCGCTGGGCAGATGCCTGCCAAGCTTTCGGTGAACTTAGGCATCAAAAGATGGTGCATCAGTAGGGTAGAAGGTGAAAACTTGGGTAGCCTGATGGAGGAAAATCAATCTGAAAAATATATCACTGCTTGAGAATACTATTGTTTCTTAATGCAAGTTCGGCGGGGTCTTTTTAACATCCTGTTGTTTGGAGGACGACTATTCCAACAGTGGGCTGTTGACATGTATATAAAGATTGAGTCTATGAGGCTTGATTGGTATGCTAACCCAGCAAACTAGAAACTCATACGGGCGGAACTATATCAGGTGAGGCAAATGTTTTCGCAACGGTTTTATCTAGAGAATGATCATACCGTTGAGGACATCTCAGAACACTACCGGTGGATCAGTGGTCGCAAGGTGTGGCAGAGAAGAAAGAAACAGCTAGGACAGATTGGTAGGGTTGTGTATGCGCACCCAGCAGAGGGGGAGAGATATTTCTTAAGAGTGCTCCTAAACCATGTAAGAGGTGCAACCTCATTTGAGGATTTAAGAACAGTGCCTGGCATCACATACTCTACATTCAGAGAAACATGTGAAAAGAGAGGGCTCATTGAGACAGATAAGTCCCTTGATGACGCCTTGAGTGATGCTGAAACTTTTTAAATGCCAGCCACACTATGCAGATTATTTGCAACTATACTTGTATTTTGTGAGGCCCCTTGACCATGGTCCTCTGTTTTCTCTTTTTGGGTGTGCGTCGTGGCATTTCCTACCCTTTCTCAAAATGCTTCAAGATGGCACCCAGTAGGGGATGTGCGTACTGCTCCCCAGACGAACAAGATGGTCATCATCTCCGGCTCCATGGCTACGCCGAACGGCCTCACGTTCACCATCGGCCAGGTCACCTGGACCACCGGCTTCGACAACTTCATCGCCATGACCACGGAGGAAGCGCAGATCCAGTCTGCGTCGACCACTGCTTCACCAGCATCGGCTACGGCTCCGACCACGTTGGATCTAGCTCTGGCCACACCAGCATCTTCTTCAGCCACTCCGACAACCCGTAGTTCGCCTCCTCGCTACAAAGGGAGGCAGATCGACAACACCGACCTGCTCGACTCCATCGATCAGGTCGGCACCAAGCTTGCTGAAACCCTAGCTCTGGTAGATTCGATTCAAAATTAATTTTCCGAGCAGGTAACCACTACCCACAACAGATCTACTCGACCAGCTCGGGCCAGTCGTCCTGCACGACTCGGTACGGATCTCGTGGTCACGTCTACTCCTGAAGGGCGCTCCGTTCGTCGCCGACCAGCCCCCGCAACGGGTCTCCGGCTCTCCGAGTGCGAAGCCTTGATGGAGAATTACTAGGCCCAGCCCTATGGCCTGTGAAACACTGCTTCCAACTACGCGTACAATATACAACGCTGCTCGGATCTGTGTTTTATACATCGACCTCGGCCAAAGCCACGCAACTTTGTCAACATGGTTCGGATTGAAGAGTATCAAGAAGTAACGGTGCACTAAGACAAGCAGCAGCCCTAACATCTATGACATATCACAAGAGTCGATCGGATCGCTCTCGATCCGGCCCGGTGGCGTAGATGGTCCTGTTTCGACTCAAGCGTCTGGTTTTTTTTGGTCTCCACGCGGCATCCACATGGAGCTACGACACCAGATTTGCATGATGGCTTGCCATTACATGCACGATGAAGATGACGTCAAGCAGCCATGCAAGAAGACGGAGTACAAGCAAGTGGGCCAACTATAGGTGTCCGTGTTATGTATGTATTCATACACAATGTACAGCGACAACCTGGAAGGACTCCGTGTGCATCTCCGACTCCAAATATGAAGACCACATACAATCTACTAAATTGCCATCAGGCTACTATGTAACCTTCACGCAAGCAAGGAAGATCTCCGACTGCGCCCGACCTCGGCTGGACATGTCCGAGGGCTTTTGCCTCCCCATGCGATGGAGCTAGGTACATGCCCTCCGACCACCGAACTGATCGAGCAGCCACGTCGACCACGTCCCGAGCGGCTCCGCCAAGCTCCGACCACGTCGACCACGGACCATGTCGACCACGTCTCGAGCGGCTCCGCCGAGCTCCGACCACATCGACCACGGACCACGTCGACCACGTCCCAAGCGGCTCCGCCGAGCTCCGACCACCTCGACCACCAGACCACGTCGCAATGATGATTGCCACGAAGAACGACGCTATGACAACCGCGACCACATTCACAACAGGCCGAAAAGCACGAGGACCGGACAACTTTATCGCCATCAACTAGATTTCTATCCAAAGATAAGTACACTTCTAATATTTATATTTAATATAATTTTTATTACGACGTTTCTCCACAACGTCCTTGTCATGATTATTCTTCAAATAACGTTTGTCCATGTATACCATCTTAAATATAACATACAGCTATACTTAATGCAAATGCTCGACCAGTCATGTTGACGCTCGATCCCTGAAGATGTGCAACAAATGATAAAGGACTTACGCCAAATGTAACTTAGGCTACAATATAATAATTGGGTAAAGGTTAAACTACAAAATAATAAATTGGATGTTTTTATGATCATTCTCTAGATAAAACCGTTGCGTTAGCACGGGCATTATACTAGTCATCCCTAATGAGAGACCTATTGTCGTAATCATCAGAGTCAATCTATCTACTGGCAACTAACTCCTTGTTGACTTTAATCAAAGATTAGAATTACTTATTTTACGGGTATTCAAAGAAAGTCATGAAACTCAATATTTAAATGTAGCAACATAGGGATAATATAAAATTAAAACTGTGATATATTTATGCCTAAATAATTTGATACAGGCTAAACAGCACATTGACATATTATAGTGCAAATATTGACTTATATTACGGATGTCATGACCGTTCTCTAGAATGTTTGATATTTTTTCTGTTGCAACGCACGGATATATTTGCTAGTAAAAACCCAATAGCCCAAAGGGCCTAGCTGAATAGAACCCCAACCATCTATCTAATACATATAAATGTTACATCAGATTATTTTGAGTTTTCCGACCAAACTAATAATGTCTAGACACTGCACAATCTGATGACCTATCTAAACTCACAACCTATTTAATTAAAACAAAACTTGTAGATGATACTTGACCAAATAATTAAATAATAATCAACCAAATTACAGAGGGCGGCGCGGAGGGAGGCGCAGTGGGGGAGAGCAGCGGCCGGATGGCGGCGTCGGGGGCGCTCGGCAGCAGTGGCGTCGGGGGCGAGGCGAAGGGCGCGGGGACTTGAGGTTTTTTTTTCTGAGAAGGACTCCTGAGGTTGAGAGAGTCGGGTGGGTGCGTGGGGTCGGGGAGGCAGGGGAGTCGGAGGCACGTTGATGGACTGTTGACGTCCCCTTTTGATCTTTTTAGGAGTAGACAGATAAGAGAAATGTTGGTTACTGTATAGATATTGTACTCCCTCCATATAGGAAATAAAAGTCGTTTAGGACATGATTGTGCTTACCAAGGTGTCATTAATTAAGTGGTATTTTTCCATGTTTACCCTTATTAAATACGTCTGTGGGTGACTCCTGAGCGAGAGAACGAAATCAGAGGACTGGACTGGTCGGTGGGTGGGACTTGAGGCTTGCATGGGCGGGGTTCGACTCCTTGGCCGGCGCGTTTTTTTTTTTTAACAAGATTTTGCATGGGTCTGTGGAAAAATTGCATGGCACTTTGTGAACGTCTTGGTGGGATGGTTTGGCGCGCGGTAGGCTGTTTGGGCGGCGTCCTAGACTCCGGCGTGATGACCTCCCAGCGACTCGGCGCGATCTCCTGCGACTCCCGCACCCGTGCCGCCCAGACTCCACGACAGAGCACCACCTGCGCCATTAACTCCATGGCAAACCTAAACACTAAGCCATGACGAGCGTGAAAGAAAGCGAGGGCGGCGAAGCAAAGACTGCGTGAGGGTGGCGTGTTTACGCCTTGACGCGAGCGACGGCGGTTACGGCGAAAGTCTTTGGGAGTACTCCGTATTAACGAAGCGGCGCGGCGACGTCTGGGCATCGAACGGAGAACCAATAGTAGCAGCGAACAAAAAGCGTCGCCGCCAGGGCAAACGCGTCCAAAACCAGCCCCTCAAGCCAGAACGACTTCCTTTTGCATGGATGTAGCGTCGCCCAGAACGACTTTTATTTCCTATATGGAGGGAGTATATATCTACTCTACATAATATTCTTCAGTGTATTTGATGATTTTTCAAATGGTTGTTCCGATTGTCGATTTGACATTCTTTGTACTACTTACATTTTCTTCCTTTTAACCTGTGCCCCCTTTGGTAAGATTGCGTGTTTGCTTGGAGTTGTTCTTTTTGCCACACAAGGAAATGTGTGCAACAAATGCAAATGATTTTGCTTTACAATCCTAGTTGAATATATATATATAGAGTCTAATCTGTAGCTAGCTAGCTATAGAATAGCTTATTCTGTAGCCGAGCCCACGGAACCAGGCGCATCAGCGCGTGCATGGCTGGTGCGTTTCTGCATGCTTCCCAGGCGCCTGCATGCGCTTCCCTGCAGTAATGACGTCATTTAATGAGCAATTAATGCCAAATTACCGGCCAGCAGGGGTGCTGTCTCCTGTCCAAGGCTGCAGCATGCAGGTGTGTTTACTAGAATATGTGATCTCCTTTGATTAGTTACGAGAATCTGTTTACTAGACTTGCAATTTTTTTACTACACTAGAATCCATGCCTTTCTGCCCCCTAGTAGTTACGATATTCTATTTACTAGAATCCATGAACTTTTTGTTACCAAAATAGTATATGTTGAACTAGCAAGAGTTACCAGATTCATGCAACAAGAGATTTATAAAAAAGTAAACGCTCCTAGCAAGAGTTGCAGTAACTCCACATAAGGATTATTGTAACATTCCGTTTGATTTATTTCTCGTAACATTCAAAATGCAGTAACTCCAAATAAGGATTATGGTAAATTCATCTTGTTATTATAGTAAATTGTTGCTCATATAGCTTGCATCCAAATTGTAGTAACTCCAAAAAATAATTACTGTCGCACTTTTTTGTT